ACCCCTAACCCCCCTAACCCCTAATCGCTAACCCTAATCCTAATCTAATCTTAGTCTGACCCTAGTCCAATCCAAATGTGGTGACCTTTTTTTTTTAAAGTCAGTTCGAGAGGGTTATTTGCATTTTGTAGTATCAATAGAAAGAGTACTGAACCCTTCCTTCAGAGTACTGAACCCTGAATTTGATGATGCGTAAATTTTGTTGAATTTCCTGTTTTAAAAACCATTTAAACCCCCGGCGAATATCAAAGCCATTTTTGTGACATGTGCACTGACTCGAAACAAAGTGTGATTCAATGCGTGGAAATGAAACATGATACGAAAATCGCATAAAACAAAATTTTCAGAGTGAAAAATCGCGATAAACAACCACAATTTTTTCAACAAACATCTCTCAAAGACTCGCAAAGTTCAATTCTGAATATTAATGAGATTAAGCGATGCATTGTGGTATAGTCACCACTCTTCCTCTGGGGAACAAGGAATTAGCCGTATTTGTGTTGTGCAGTCGTAAAACGTATAGTGATAGAAACAAGTATATTATATACAGGAAGGTCTCAAGTGACCGAATAATTTGTGGTTCTTAACTTGTAATTTAAAACTTGTAATTTGCATTTTTACGGAGGTGTATTGTGGTTAATAACTTAATATATAGTATTATATACAAATACAAAGCATATGTTTCGATGGTACAGTATCATACAGTATAAACTGCAGGAAGATAAATGAAGTAGCAGTCAATATTTGAACGCTATACAGTACTCCTGAAATGTAAGGTAATAAAATTTGAACTTCACAGATATCGAGCTATCTGTATACACTAGAAATAGTTTACACTAAAACTGCCCCCGGCTGATTATTGTGTATTGTTATTGAAAATGATCATGCCTTATCGTTTACAAATATTAGTACGACAAAATGTTATGACCCCTTTCTTTCAAAACGCTTCGAAGTTTGATAAAATTGTTAAATTGGACGAACTTTAAAAGTCAAACAGCAACATCGTGTAACTTGATCCTTGTGCGTTGGCTGAAGAAATATCGCTTTTCAATATAATGATTAACTAGGGTACCTGCAAGGTAGGGATTGCTGCGGGCATTAAAAGCAAATAGAACTACAGTAAATAGCACAAATTATATCAAGCACATGCAGTTATTACTCGCAACGACTAGTGCATGAGCTGTGAGCTTGAGGTGATCATGAGTGGACTGAGAAAAAGCAATATTATATATACCAATATACGTATATTAAAGTAGCCAAGACCAGGGGTTAAAGGGCAATCAGAGGTGACAGATATTAAACATGTGCGTGTCATTGACATACAGGTAAATTAAGATCAGATTTCATATCAAGTCTGTTAGTGTTTACTGCTATATTTACCACATTATATAGATTATATACACAGATTTATTACACTATAAGGAACCAAAACTTTATAAAAATATAGAACTTACAGTGGCCAAAGTCCATTTAGTGAATCAATGCAAAAAGAACGAAAATTAGAACACCGAATCGTTTGAAAATTTAACTTGTGCTTAATTAAAAAACAAAAATCGGAAGTCGGACTGCCGAAGGCCTTTCAATACTTGTGCTTCCACGTATACATGAAACATCACTTGATGCAAAATATGGAAATCAGCAAGAGAAAGCAAACGCGAATGGATAGAAAAACTTTCAAAGACATCTCTGTGTAAGACTTCCATAAGTCGATGGCACATTCATTAATAGCAGAATATATAGTTTATCCCCGAGCCGGCGGCGCGAAGCGCCGTGCGAGCCCCCCGGCTATTTGCACCCGGGGAAACGAAAGCATTAGCGAAGTCTAAAGTTTATCAATGAGCGCGGGCGTCGGTCACCAACGATGGGTGGTCATCCTCACTGATCTCAAAAATATTGCGGACTGTCATGAATAACGGACACTGATTGGTCCAATTTAAAGTTTGCATTATAACGACTGCATGACGACAGCGAAATAGCAAACATTTCTTGATTTGATGATTGATAAATTTCTTGCAAATATATTTCATTTTCGCTCGTATTTCTGCAAGATGTTGTAAATTTCAAGAAAAAAAGGGCGAAAGAATGAGCTAAAAGAAGGGAGCCGATGTTAACGAAGGTAAGTTTGTTTTAAATATTGATTTTATAATGGCTTTAAAACCCGACGGCCTTTGCGTACATGAAACAACTAAACAAGACAGCATATAATTTCAGTGTATCTTTAATATTGATTCCCTTTTTTATTATATTGAATTTAAATAAAAAATAAAGCAAAGTTATTTGCAAGCGAGAATTTGAAATTATTTTATTGCAAACTCAAAGTTTATCGATAAAGCCATTTAATAGTTAAAGGCAGTTTAGTTTAATAAAGAACACTTTAAAACGTTTTGTGAATTGTTTGTGGTTGAGTTTTACCTTAAATTGAAGCTTGTATTACGTATAATTAAATACCTAACATATATATGTTGGGAAATTGATAATTTTGTAATTAAAAGTGATATTTTTAGGCGATTTTCATTTGTAAGAATATTCTTAAAAAATTATCGTGTTACCATGACAACTACTTTATATACTTCATGTTCGGAAAATACAACGGTTTTGTCAGCAAGGCGAGGGTTTCTGCATGCATGTATTTTCTAGTATATAAACAGACACTCGGAATCTAGCTGCGATCGTTTGTGTGATTTCAGCGTTTCATAGATATACAAATTGAGATTGCCAACTTTCCAAAAAGGAGTAAACAAATGTAAACGTAACATTAAACTTGAAAAAGCTTTAAAAATAAGTGAGATTGAATTGCTCCGCAGCAAAAAGGATAAAATATTAATTCATAGGTGAGATTGAATTTATAGAATAATCTGTCGCGCACAAATATGATAATTAAATATACAAACGCCGAACGTCGACAATCTTATAAAAATCCCAAATTCGCTCTTGATCTGATTCACTTGAGATATTGACACATGAAACCATACGACCGAATATTGTGTACTGCGCAAATTAACTGCGCACGACCACAATGCAACGCGTTGGAAAATTTAAGAAAATGCCTCCCCTACGCAAATTAGTCTGCTGCTTCGCTGGCTCCGCAGCAATAATGCCATTAACGGAACAATGACTACAGTATGTCCAGTATGAGTCCCTGTTACAAACGTTTTATAATGTGACCGTCGTGTGTCTTGTTCTATAACACCATAGTTTTTATATTCGTTATAAGCTTTGCTCGATTTTTAATATTTATATTTGTTTTTGACTGACAGACTGATGTGTGAACCGAGTCTTTTGGTTCCTGTTTTGATTGTATCTCACAAAACGTAGTAGTAATCGATACTTGATAGATTAATCTTGTGTTTCTGTTCAACCTTTAAAGCTTTTCGTTATATATTTGATGGATTGACTCCTTCACCAACAATAAATTATAGTAACAACGTACCTCACAAGTCTATTACTATTTAGGCAGAAATAAAATGCCGTATGACAAAGTGTTGACGGTTGACCGAAGCAGCAGGTCTGGATCTAGAAATTTTCGTACGTTAGTCAAATTTTTTCTTGCTGCAGGTGTTGTATAGCATTATAAGTTATTCGCCCGACAGCCTACGCGATTGTATTGTCACGATATTATAGTGTCGGGCGATTGTCTGGAATTTTGTCTTACACGTTTTATTAATTTAATCTGTTTTACACATTAGTAAATACAGTAACTTCAGTAAAAAAGTTGGCCCACGGTCGCCGTCTTCCTAGCAAGTGTCGCTCGCGTGATAATTCGTAATTTGGTAACACGTCATTGCTTTCAAAAATGCTTTCAACACCTTTTCTGCAACTTTAATTGCTTTAATTATAAATGATGCTCTTGATTGTTTAATCCATAAAGTTCGATCCAAAAAAGCCACAATAAAATGTAATAGCTCGTGCTTTTCAGGACGCCATTTTACTAGCAAGTGTCATGGCGTGAGCATGACGTGTACATCTACGGAAATTTGAGGACACGATGTCCTATTGAGTTGCACATCTGGTATATACTTCATCTGTGGTACAGCCTCCTGTCGTGATGCTTAGCCGGAAGAACTCTATAAGGGGAAAACGCCTACGCCATCACAAGCATCATTAAACTGTTGCTTTTATTCAATGTTTTGTTTTCGGTTTTAGTACTGTTTTCCATGTGCACTTCCTCGTCAACTATCGGTGCTCAGTCGCCAAATGCCGTTTCGTTTGCCTGATTAGCACATTGAACTAAATATAACTGGCAGGCTAAGTGGGGGGAGGGAGGGGGGGGAGTTGAAGCAGTACTTGAAGCTTTCTTTGTATGTAGTCCCAGTCCTTTTTAATTTTTTTTTTCAAAATATGCACGTTTTTGTTATCAGATAAATCTTGCCACAAAATACTAGTTATACCACCGAATTTAATTTATATCAAACTTATGACCGAATTTTTTCACTTCTGGAAACTCTCCTTAGTCCTTTTGAAAGCTGATTTTCCCGCGCGTTGGCTTCATCATAGGATGCTTGTGATGTTACTCTGAGTATATATCCACATCGGGCAAGCTTGAAAAATAGCATGCCCGGTGTGGAGTACACTCAGAGTAACATCACAAGCATTATATTCACCTGAGAACATTACACCAACACAGAAAAAATCATGATTATACTAGATTGCATTGATATCGAAGGAACTAGATTCTGTTCCGAAATATCACATACTCGAACCGACCTGACCGCGTAGCTAATTTAGGTTGGCAGAGCATTGGGCTAGCTAGTATTCCAAAGGTTGTAGGTTCGATTCCCACCGTGGACAGGCATATTTTTCAAGCTTGCCGGGTGTGGATATACACTCAGAGTAACATCACAAACATCATATTCACCTGAGCTGTACATTACACCAACACAGAAAAAATTCGTCATAGGAGTTAGCTTTCCTGTTCATTTATGGGATCAGTTATTTAATGGGGTTGACAGCCTGACCTGCGACTTTAGTGATAAATTTTACAACGATCTTCTCTGCATTTCAGACAACTTTAAGCCGAGATACGCAATGGATCTTACCATTGATGATGTTTTTGTCAAGATTGGTGCATTTCGTCAGTATCAATGGTACCTATTGACCATTGTGGGCTATGCAGTATTATCACTTTCTTCCTTTCCTGTCATGATAGTGACGTTTATTACAGCAGAACCAAAGTGGAAATGTGTGGATGGATATATGAATAATACCGTATGTAGATTTAACAAATCAATAACGTTAATCAGTGATGATTACAAAGCGAGATGTAAAATGCCGAGAGAAGCTTGGACGTTTGTAGATGACTTTACATCAATTGTTACCGAGGTAAGTAATGTGTAATTCCGTAGTAGTGTATACGTCTAGAGTACCACATACTCAGACGTATACAGGTTGTGCAAAAAACAAAGTTCTCGATTCACGTAAACTGCAAAATGAATTTTACAGCAAACATTTATGCTTGGATTCATTTTATTCAGCTTTTCGATTGCTGAAGGTTGAAAATTGCTTTAGCTTTAAAATAAATTCCTGTGAATTGCGTTTTCGCAATTATCTTAGCATAAAGAGAGAGAGAATCTTAAGGGCTGTTCATATGGGCCAGACCGAAATCTTTTTCGTGACCATAAAAATTGTTTGAATGAACTTTATTCTGTTACTGGTGTTGTGTTTATATTATAACCTCGAATCAAACACACGCACGCACTTAATATGTGCTATAATAATGTAATGTGATATTAAGAAATAACTATTATATACAAGCATAAGGTAATTAGTTTGAGATGCAATACGATACTGTATCTAAGGACACTACATCCCTCCCCTTCTCTATAAAATGTTTTTTTCTTTTAAATCTAAAATATTAGTTAACGATTATCAGTTCGTAGTTGTCAATAAACCAAAATGGTGCCACGTTTCAAAATGTATATATTGTTGCTTTCGCATAACCATAGCGTTCCGGCTGTCTTGGTTGTCGAGAGGATCTCCTCAGTGGTGGCGAAGGCGGTTGTGAAGGTTGGGTGGTTGTTTTAGGTGGGTTGTCTTCGTCGTCGGAGGTTTCGAGATGAACAGGGCGATTGGGTATTTTCTTAAAGAAGGAGGAATTGCGCGTTACTGTTCTGAGCTTGTTTCTTGCGATGACCATCGAGTTCTTAACTGCTACAACGCGGAAGGGCTCAGGGTCAAATGGTGTGGACAATTTATTCAATTTCGGTTGTCGTAGGAGGACAGTGTCACCGAGGGTGATGTTGTTTGGCTTGGCACGATTTCGTTTGTCGCTGTATAGTTTCATGGTTGATTTGTTCTTTTCGTCTCGACTACGTATCTCCTCATCTTTCTTGGAGTTGCTTGGTGTTGATGGGGAATCTGGAAGGTGAGATTTTAGCTTTCGTTTATTTAGTGCTTCGCTAGTGGATACGGAGATGGTGCTATGTGGTGTGGCACGATACTGGCGAAGGAAGGTATACTTGGCTTGTTTCCAGTTCCGACCTTCAACTGTGGCAGCTCGAATTGCTTTCTCAATAGTTTTCATGACGCGTTCAGCTTCGCCGTTGGCTCTTGGCCTGTATGGGGTTATCTTACGGTGCTTAAAACCGAGGTGGTTGACAAAGTTCTCAAACTCTTCACCATTAAATGGAGGGCCATTATCTGACTTGAGAATCTCAGGAATGCCTTGTATGGAGAATATGGCATTAAGCTTCGGAATTGCGGCTTTCGCGGATGTTGTGGTGAGAATTTCAACTTCCGGGTATCGACTGTATTCATCAATCACGACTATCAGGTATTCGCCTGTGGGAAATGGTCCAACGAAATCAACTGCTACATTGGTCCAAGCTTTCTCTGGGAGCGGGAGGGTTTCAGTGGTTCTGGAGGTGAAGACGTTCCTTGGATAGAGGCTTGACAGGGCAAACACATCTTGACGTTGGTTTCAACCATTCAGGCGTTCCGTCTGCGAGTAACGACTTTCGACGTCAGATAAAGCGGGACTGGTGTAACTGATGACTTTTCCAGCTTGAACGAGAAGGGCAGTGAGACCAACAGGGCTGTCATCAACGATGATTTCGGTTGGCTTGTTTTGATCAAAGTAGGACATTACGTTCTGTTCCGTTAGCGCTGCTTTCAGGTTGTTTAGGGACGTTTGTTCTTCGGTCGTCCATTTCCACTCGGCGTCAGTTCGAGTGAGAGCACGTAGTGGAGCAGTGATGGTAGAGTAGTTGGGGGTGAATCTAGATACTTATTGGGACAAACCAAGCAGGGACTTAACTTCGCTGACGTTTTGAGGAGCGCGGGCTTGTTGGATGGAGTCGATTTTCGCAGGATCGGCTTGGACTCCTTTGGCGCTGAAGATATGACCATAGAAACACACTTGGGACTGACTTGTCCTTGTTTAAGTGCACGTTGTAATCTGACAGGCGTTGAAGGATAGCTTGGAGGTTAAGATCATGTTCGAGTTGGTCTTTTCCGTACACAATAATATCAGCAGAGATATTCTTGCATCCAGGTAGTCCAGCAAGCAGTTCAGCGATGGCGTTCTGGAATATCTCGGATGCAGCGTTGATACCAAACATCAGGCGCTTGTATCGACGTGTAGCCCAACGTGGGTGCTAAAGGTGGTGATGTGACGACTTTTTCGGGCTAGGGTTAGCTGGTGGTAATCGGAAGCAAGATCAAGGGTGCTAAAAACGGCCGCTCCGTTCAAGTCAGCGATGAGGTCATCTAAGGTTGGCATGAGGTGCTTTTCTCTTCCGATTGCCTTGTTGGCTTCACGCATGTCGACACATATACGTATTTCACCTGATTTCTTGGGTACCACCACAATGGGACTTACCCATTGCGGTGGCCCGTCAACGGCTTCAATGATGTCGAGCTGTTCGAGGCGTTTCAGTTTTTTCTCAACGTCTTTGCGTACGTGGAAAGGAATGCGGCGTTGTGGCTGTTGCTTTGGGGTTACAGTGTTTGAGATATGGAGCTTGATTTCTTTTCCTTTAACCTGACCAATGCCGTCAAACAGACGAGGGACGGCATGGAGGATGGTTTGACCAGACATGGTGGAATTAACGTTAAGGGTTAATAGGTTGAGTTGTTGGGCGGTAGTGCAACTGAGAAGATTGCCACTGTTGCCTTTTGTGACGTGGAACGTAGCATTAACGGTTGTGAACTTATAACGAACAGAGGTGGAAAAACTTCCGAGTAGAGGTAAAGGAGTGGTGGAGCAATAGGAGTATATTTTGGTGGTGGGACGGTTTAACATGGCAGAGAGTCGCGTGTTATGGGTGATGGAATTGTAGGTCGCTTCATCAAGCAGGTTTGCAGAAGCACCAGAATCGACAAGTACAAAGATGGACTGGCCACCAATGTTAACGATGCAAGATGGAGAGGGGCGGAGGGGCGCACTGGATGGGGAGGAGTGGATAACAAAAGTATAGGCAGGGTCTTGCTCAGGATCATCCGATATTTGTTGGACAACACGAGGGCGCTGCTGGGGTATGGAGCGGCAAACTTTGGCAAAAGGTCCATTTTTGCCACAAGAACGACACGTTTTCCCGTTGGCAGGGCAGGAAATAGCATGAGAAAACGGTTCGCCGCAATTTCGACAGAGGGAACGAGTGTGTGTTCGTTGATTGTTGGGAGTGTTGGGCGGAGCATGCTCATCCGGGTGGACAGGATATGGTTCGCTACGTGAGGGAAGGGCATTGACGCTTTGGTCGGTACTGGTAGGTTGAATGTCTCTGGCTTGTCGATCAGTAATCTCAGCTACACGACCGGCTTCGAGAAGGGCTGTAAGACTGAGGTCCTCGCGAAGGGCACGTAGTCTAAGCTTGTGAGAGGTACAGCTGAAGACAATTTGTGTGCGAATTTCTTTGTCAACGTCAGCAAAACCGCAGTGTTTGGCAAGCTGTCTAAGCCGGGTATGATACGAAGCTAGGTTTTCATTCGTGCGCTGTTTCGCCTGACGAAATTGATATTCCTCGTAGACCATGTTGAGTTTCGGAACGAAATATGTGTTTAAACATTCTACGGCTTTTTTATACTCTTTGTCTTCACCCGTGTCGGGTAGTGTTTCAAAAAATATCGTCAACATCTGGGCCAGCGTAGTGTAATAACAACGCTCGTTTCTGGGTAGCGTCGGTTATATTCATGCCAACAATTAAGCGTTCAAAGCGAGTAAGCCATTTGGTCCAACGTGGACCAGCATTCAGGGACGTAGCGAAGATGTGCTAGTTGGGGGGGGGGGTGCAATGCAGTAATTTACCTGATTTTACACTATTGTAAAAATTTACCTGAAAGATAAACCCCCTATCTTTGTGCACTGTAATGTTGTGGTACATTTCTCCCTAACCTGAAGTTCAGGCCCTAATCACAGAATAGGGCCTGACACAAAACCTATCTAAAGTGTGGGATTCCCGTCCACCTGGTGGACGGGAAATCTGATTGGTTGATCAGCATCATGAAGGATTTTGATTGGTTGCAAGTTTACATAAACAACAGTTTTAAAAATAGCTCGGTCAAGGCGACAATTAATATAAAGATCAAACGCACGTACAAATTCTATTATCGATTTCTTCGAATTTCTTTTTCTTTTATGATTTATGGAAGAAAATAAATCAAACAAACAGTATTTTGAAAGGGCTTTATCAAAATCTTGGACGGATTTTGGACACACGACGCCGAAAGAACAGCCAAACTAAGTCATGTATTCGAAAGCTTGTTGTTGACAGCCAAGATGTTCTGCCAACTGGCTTCGCCGGCAAAAGTCTTATTTTTAATATCAGGTCCTACCGGCGTTGTTTTCTGAGCTAAATCGCCTTCTTCGTGGTACGATTGAGAATTTCATTGTTGCTGTTGTTAGCCCGTTTTAATAAAGTATATCCCTAATATCCGCGTCCAGCAAGTTGAGACCTTGAGAAAGCTTGGCAGTCAAGCTGTGCACAGAACTGACTAATTAAATCTTTGTCTGAACTTATTTATATAAAAGTACCTTGAATTTTTAAGTTCAATTAAAAAGCAAAATGCACAACACTTGTCAATCATATTGCATGTTGTGTCTAAAAATAACATGTGGGCGTCCCACGGTCTAGACAGCTTTTGTGTCAGGCCCTATTTCAAAATAGGGCCTGAACTTCAGGTTAATTTCTCCCCTGCACAGTTATCACCTAGATATTTAACCCACATCTATTTTTACAACATTTTTTTCTTGCTTTTTCAATCTACTTTTTCTCATTAGAATATGTTTTGGTTATTTTTGTTCTTCTAAATTAAAGAGTATAAGCCACACGAGAAGAACACGAGCATATACAAACCGAGTACTCCGAACTCCGAATAGAACTCTCCACTCATTTTATCAATTAGGTAGTTAAATCTAAAATACCATGAGATCACATTGATTAGTTACCTCTCGGCCTTCCAATAACTACAGTCAATTTTAACAAGTTTTTGTCGAAGCAGTCCATCCGCCTTTTTTATGTAGGGAAAAGGTGTAAATTGATATTGTTTATATAATAAAGATAATTTTTAGCTGAACTAGAACTGCTTTTCCCTATACAATGAACAATAATGTTACATAGTAGTTATTTGTTAACTAATGTTTTTAACCTGCAATAGTAAGTTATTGTTTTCAAGCAATCGCCAATCGGCGGTTTTTCAAGATTGACCATTTTTTCGTGACTCGCATTAACATCAAAGACATCAGTGATATTCTTTTCAGCGGCAAGGATCATGCAATCATTCAAACGTTTTCCAGATATTTAATTGCGTGAATAACTTTTTACAATCTTCAGTAAACTGAATGATCTCTCATTTTTCACAACGGCAGGGGCGGCTGTCAGAAATAGTTTATAAAGCTCTGAAGCCAACTTGAAAAGACCATGCCCCTTGGCCACCCTAAGAGCAATGTCCGCTGCGATCGTACCTGACATGGGTTTTGCCTCAAGACCTTGTGGCCGGCTGACGTTCTTCTTCCATTCGTCTGTGTTCCTTCAGCGCATATTTAAAGAAAACGGACAATTCGCTGTGTAATGCTGGGCTTTGTTCCTGGTGTTTCTGGATGCAATACCTTTAGGAACGGATTAAAAGTGTTCTTAAGACCAATTTGTTTCTGCATTAATCCTCGTTTTTGTTTGCCCAAAAATTACAAAAAGTCACATGTGTAATAAAAAATGCATAAAGATGTGCAATAAATAATGTGTAATAAATAATGCATAAAGACTACACACGTATAATATAGAGAACAGTAATGCTAAAACAATGCCCTCGTAACGGCTCATTCAACCTAAACTATTCAACAATGTTACAAATCTACGAACAATTCTTTAGTAGTTAAATATTAGACGAATATTGCGTATATATCGCCATATCGGCCATTTGTGTAGAATTATTAACGAACTACTACTATATAAGTAAAAATATGACAAAGTACACGGCACACAATACACATCACATATGTGCATCACACATACACAGACGTTCAAAATTTACATCTGGATATCATATCCCTGTTGCTGTATTAATCTATAAGCAAGCAAATAATTCTATGTATTTCAAATACACTGTATTATTATCAAAAAGTAGATGAAATTAATATAATTTCTTGCACGTACCTTGACCTTGTGTAAAGAACCAAAACCGGAAGCGCATGTTACTTAGCGAAAAAATTCTGGGTTTTTTGCCGATGGAAATAGTACAAAATAGGCAACATATTCTTTTCGTAAAATAAAGCCTGGCTACATTGAAAAAACGGAAACCTCTGAACGTATCAACGTATGAAGCCATAATTAAAGAATTAAAACCTCATCTATTTTCCGCATTTCAATCCTCTATTATTTGCCTGTTATTGTTATGAGTTTTCAAGATTTTTTACCTGATTTATTATAATGCCAGTTTTTCATGGATTTACCTGAAATTTTCAAATCGTCTTAGTTGGGTCACCCCTCCCCGCTCGCTACCTCCCTGCCAGCATTCGAGTCAAGGTGAACGTCAAACGGGTAGTGATGTAGCCATACGGACTGAATATTGTGGCGCGGCGCTGTTGATTCGTGCTTGATGTTGATCGCAATGTCTGTCGTGGGATTTGCCGTGATTTCCTTGCGTCGAAGGACTGTGCATGTTCAGTAGATATCTGGATTACAGAAGTGGTGTACGCAGTAAAGAAGCGATGGATTCGTAAACTTCGTTTTTTGTTTAAGTATCCTCGTCCCCAGATGTTGTGTTTATATTATAACCTCGAATCGAACACACGCACGCACTTGTGTTCTATAATAATGTAATGTGATATTAAGAAATAACTATTATATACAAGCATAAGGTAATTAGTTTGAGATGCAATACGATACTGTATCTAAGGACACTACAACTGGAATCAAACTAAGCTGATTACACTGACCTGAAAGGTCAAGTGTCTTAAATCCCTAGTTTTCTGTTTTCTGTTTTTTTCGTCGTCGAGAAATCGAGTTTGCGTTCGCGCATCGCAGGCTCAGGGTGCAACGATTAATCCAAAATGCCATCGATTCTTTGACTCCACGATTCATATATAATAGTAAGAAGCTGGTATTTATGTACGTAATAGTCGGCTCATGTCATGCTTGCGGTGCATTTTTCGTTTATTAGCCCATATATAGACCTATATGGACTTATACGCACGTGCACAATTCCGAACTCCAATGGTGACATATTCAGTCCAGTTTCAAAATGGCGCCTTTTGGCTGAGCGATCAGAAAATATTTCACACAGTTTCGTTGAATTTTCAAAGAGTTGTGCCGGTTTCCTATGGATTTTACGTTGTGTCGCACTCTGAACTTTCTTGCGTGTTGAACTAATATGTTTTTCTTCGTGTAACGACTCGAAAACCCAAAGTTTGGACCCAGCGAATTTTACAAAGGACAAGTTAAAGTTAAGTTTGACTTTTTAACTAATAAACAACCGTCTATAAATATACGTTGTAGAGTCATAAGCATCCGTGGTGTAGTTGTGTTAATTTTTTGTCGCACTCTGGACTTTCTGCATGTTGAATTAATGTTTTTATTTTTGTATTATACGATTCTAAAATTTGGCTTTGAAAATTTGGCCGATCCGGCGGATTTATGCAATCAATATGTTGTATTAAACGACTCGAAAACCCCAAAATTTGGACCCGACGCGAATTTGTACAATATAGTGGAATATAAGCAAGTACAAGGTAAAGATTCTACAGTTTATTTTGATTTATTGTATGGTACTCATTTGTCTAATACAATAACATTTAGTTCACAAGGTTTGACCATATTAAAATACATGTATTGAAATTCGCGCAATAGCTACTAGAATTCGCGCAAGTAAAGATAAAGCGAGCGTTCAAAATACCAAAAAGAACTAAGGCATTTATTGTATGGTTCTCATTTGCCTAATAGAATAACATTTAGTTCACAATATAATATAAACACAATATAAACAATGAAAAGTTAAAGGTTTGACAGGTTTCACAACACAACGTCGACAATATACCTTAATACATGTATTAAAATTCGCGCAGTAGCTACTAGTTGGCGCGCCAAACGCTTTGTGGTAGCTATACTAAAGATAAAGCGTGCCTTCAAAATACCTACAAGAACTAAGACATTTATTGTATGGTTCTCATTTGCCTAATACAATAACATTTAGCTCGACGCGAATTTTAACTATAGTATCATATTTCATAATATAATGAACAATGTAAACTAGCCAATTCTTTCACCTACAAAATGTCGACAATATACCTTAATACATGTATTAAAATTCGCGCAGTAGCTACTAGAGTTCGAGCAAGTAGTGAAGATAAAGCTTGCATTCAAAATACCGAGACATTTATTGCATGGTTCTCATTTGCCTAATACAATAACATTTACTTCACAATATAATATAATATAAACAAGGAATAGTCGTTCGATTTGGCTATACTGTTTGCTCGTTTTTAATGTGTATTGATCATTTCAATAATCGATTTACATATCAGTCTGCTCGATTCGAGTAAGGGTTGCCCGATTTGTATCATTGGTGATTTGGTGTTCGACTTATAACTATTGGACCTATTGAATTTTGACAGTAAAAACGCGCCATATATAATACATGTACTGTATTAAAATTCGCGCAGTAGCTACTAGCATTGGAGCAAGTAAAGATAAAGCGGTGCGTTCAGTGAAATACCAACAAGAACTAAGATATTTATTGTATGGTTCTCATTTTCCTAATACAATAACATTTAGTTCACAATATAATATAAACAAGGAAAAGTTAAAGGTTTGGCGTTTGACTACACAATGTCGGCATTATACCTTAATACATGTATTAAAATTCGCGCAGTACGTATAGTTAGTGCTACTAGCATTCCGGCGGACCTATTGAATTTTGACAGCAAAAACGCGCCATATAATACGTGTATTAATTAAAATTCGCGCAGTAGCTACTAGAATTGGCGCAAGTAAAGATAAAGCGTGCGTTCAGTGAAATACCAACAAGAACTAGAACGTTTATTGTATGGTTCTCATTTTCCTAATACAACTCGATCAACTCATAGCTATTATGTGCTCATTTGTTATCATGTGCTCATTAATTCTTATATCAATATTGGAATATGATCACGAAATACTGCGTAGCGCAAAATCTCCATTCTTCAAAAACGTATCGTTCAAGGCAACTGAAAGGCGAAGAAGACAATGATATATTGTATCTGACTGCTTCAATACTCAGAAATGATCCACGATCATGATTTGATAAAGTTCAATATGGTCATGTGATTTTCGGTGTGAACCTGAGATACTATCTATAAATATTATTACTAAGTATCTGACATTAAACTAAATGTGATTAAAGCACAAGAAATGTTACCTATGTCTCATTTTATATTTTTATTTTTTTCCTATGAAGGTTTGTTACTTGTGCAAAAGCGCAACTTTAATTAGGTTTCAAACAGTTTCTGCCTTCTGCTTTTTGTTGTCGAATTATTGATTTTCTTTGGATAAATCTACCGCTGAAACTGTTCTATACGAACTCTCTTGCTTCCCATTCCCTTGTCTATTACACCATAGCCAATCTCGTTCCCCGAGCATGCGATCCTCGGGAAGGAAACGAAGGTTCTGGGATAATCCGTTGCCGAAAGCCAGGAATTCTGGCTAAGATTGAACTGCACATTCCATATCAACGGCCAATCAGATTCCTCCCTGAAACGGATTATCCCAGAGCCTCCGTTTCCTTCCCAACGACCGCAGGCTCAGGGAACGAGATTGCACCATAGCACGCATATCATCATTTTCAGGTCAGTGTGAACGCCTGAGTAGGCGTCTTGTTAACTTTGAAATGTCATTTTGGAAGTTTATCAAAGCCGCGATAAGGGCTTTATATAATATCTCGGGAACAATAGGTTATATGTATATTAATATCTATACGCATTTGAGCCCCGCATTCCCCTGGTAGAATTCAGCACCCGTCCACAGGTTTTGAAGTGGATAATCAACTGGATTGATGCATAGTCTACTAGAAATACATGCATGCACCAACCGCCTCGCCTATATTTTCCATACATTTTTTCAACATGAAGTATTCATAATTACGCCATCACTGAACGCAGCCTCGCGTTGCACGTCATGTTAGTCATGGCAACACGATAATTGTTTTTTTTTCAATTTTTGTACAAACCTGCAAAAAATAGATGAATTTTGAACACTCATTTTTATACAGAACTATCAATTTCTAAAATATATAAAGTACTGTAGGTATGTTATTTTAGTGTCTATTGGCTTTATTTTGATGTAAAATTCAAAACGAAACTCTACGTACAGCGTTTTTAAATGTGAATTGAAATTAACTACGTTTCGCCGATATTAAACTCTTCAACTCGAGCTTCAACTTATTACTCGCACTTTGAAATGAAATAAATTTAATTCGTACGGGAAGCTTATGAAAATAATTTGCTTTCCTTTTTATCATGAACTTACGGTGGCCGATAAGGGTCATTCACGCACAAAAAGTGAAATCACCCCCACAATAACACGAAACACGCCAACAAATGCACGATTCACACCACAATTCCACGATTCACACCACAAAAAACCGCAGACCGATCACGGTCTCAATACTGATTAAATTAATTATTTCCCGCCTTTTTACCGCGACCGCACGACGACGGCGACCGCACAATGAAAATGGTTTTAGTATTAAAATATATTACAAATATTGCTTAATTAAATTAAATTAACTTGGCCAATAAGGTTATTGTTATTTACATTAATCTTTTTTGTTGAAGTTAACATTGTCTGTATAAAAACAGTTTTATAGTTGATATGAAGAGTTTGGAATGTGACAGTTGTTAAACTGGGATTAGTTCAAAATTGATAATTATTCAACATAGTTAAGATACTCTTTGACATCCTGATTAACCGGATCAGCCACATGCTGCCTAACAAAAGTTAAAGAAATCCACGAGAGCTTCTCCACACTGAATACACTGGCCGTTGTCAGCCATGTCTACGCTTATTTCATACGGGAAATACGGGAAAAGGCGGGAAATAATGAATATAATGAATACACGGCTAACAACGCACAGGTTTGTTACAAGTTGATATCGACAGGCGTGAACAATGTTGTGCGGCCAACTATGAACAAGTTGTCAACCATGTTGTTACAAGTTGTTACAGTTGAACAATGCTGCAACAACATGTTGACAATAATGTTCATAGTGGGCTGCATAACATTGTTCACGCCTGTCGATATCAACTTGCAACAAGTTGTTGATTTTCTCAATTTTTACGCGTGTAGGGAGACGATGATTAGTCAGCTGTTTCTTTGTGGCGTGAATCGTGAAATTGTGGCGTGAATCGTGGAATTGTGGTGTGTTTCGTGATATTGTGGGGTGATTTCACTTTTTGGGCGTGAATCCCCCTTATCGACCACCGTATGAACTTCTACAAAATTTAATTTAACTAAGAAACTTTCGCATACAGTTTATGCATAGGAAAGACTTGAACAACAAGAACAAAATCTATATTAATACAAAGACGTCATACATAAACAATTGAAACAAACTTGCGCTATACTTTATTACTTTAGGATTTCTCATATTGCACGTCTATGAGTCGAGCCGAGAACAACAGCCGTGTACCTCAGAGCCCGTCAAACTCTACCATTAGGTATCTATCATTCGGCAAAAGAGTAAAGATATAAAGAGAGTTCACTCGATCAGTGAAAATACAGTATTAAGGACGTCACACGGATTTGCGAAGCTGACGTCATTTATCACACCATCAAAAGGAAATTAAATATTCCAAAAAAAATGTAATATGCACCAGCCAGTACCATCGCTGCGTTTTCAGTACAAAACTATGGGCAAAACGCAGTTCGAAATGCAAAAGTGACATTTTTAAGGAAAAGACGTATTTGATCTTCATATTTGGACTAAACTTTTCAACAATAACAGTAAGTGATCTTTTCTATTCACATAAGAAGTCCGGTTGAGCTTTCGAAAAACTTTATCTGATTTTGAAAGTTGAAGGAGCGGTCTGCCTACAGACCGAATTAACTCATCAAGCTGCCTCGTCCCCAGGCGCTATAAAACGATTTCACATACGAGTCACTATATAAAAGGTTTACACGAAGTAGTGCGTCACATTATAGGCGCGCAAAGGGGAATGGGATATGAGCGTTCTGGTTAGCGCCTGGCCGATCTTGTATAATAGCTGTCGAACATAAAACAATCTAAATATAAATGCCTTCATGTATATCACCAGAAAGAAAGAAATAAAGCTATCCTTACCTGAATTATTCAAAATATTGTCGATCTTTTGCACCGATCGTGAAAATCAATTAATCAAACATACTGCATGTAAATAAGCTCGTAACTGAAATCCTGAGACGAATCTTGCGAACACAATAAAGTTTTATCGCTCACTTGTTTAAAAAACTTCCTGTAGCTGTAGATTTTTAAAATAAATTCCTCATTGTGATAAGGACGCATTCGGTCATTTTCCCATACCTTGTAAAGTTATTATATAAACCTTGCTATAGCCTCGTTGACCTCTTCAAGTGTTGACATCTCGGAATCATTTAATTAAAGGGTCAAATCAAAGGTTCAAATATCATTTGACTGTAATCACATGTTTAGTTGAACAATTTGAAATGTTATTATTTAAAAAAAATGGCGAAAAAAGCCCCCAAACTGTCGAAAAACCACGATTTGCAAGAAACAATCGAAATTTGCAAGATGAACTGCACAAAATCTCCCAGGCGCTAGGCGCTCCTCAATTTTCGCTGCCTCAAGCCCATAAACCCCTGCGCTTGTTTTTGTTGCGATGCACTACTTCAAGTAAACTCAAAATTTCAAAGTAATTGTTTAACATCCCTATTTATTTCATATAATATGATCATGAATAACGATCGGGCAAGCGATTTGCGCCTGAACTAAGGACAAAGACACATTTCTCTTATGTTCTAAAGTCTAAACTTCGTTAGGCCTACGAAATCACAAGAATAATGTATATTCGTTGTCTTTAATGTAATGGACTTTAGATTATTAGATAGGTTTTTAATTTTTATCTGTCAACAACAGCAAGCAAGCAAACGTTGCTTTCTTGAGTGTGACCGCGACGTGCTTGGCTTGCATTCTAGCATGAGCTTGGTATGTGTTCAAGCAAGCACGCTAATCCGGTGGTAATCTCCAAGCACAAGCGCTAGTGTGACCGCGACCTAAATTAAAAGCGTACGCGTGACGTCACCGAGTACATGTTAGGAGAATTTCAAAGTTGATCGTTTGAGTAAAATTGTTTACTATATGTAATCAGTAATATATTCTACTTATATTATAAAACAAATAGAAAAACTCGCCTCGTGCGTTTATGGTGTGATAATACATTTGGGGAATGTTGGGAGAACACTCAAGAAACGTGTACAACACTCGCTAGCGCTTACGCCTCGTGTTTTACACGCTTCCCTAGTATTCTCCCAACATCCCCTCCGTGCATTATCACACCATAAGCGCACGCGAATCGTTTCTATTTCTTAAATAATAAAGGGGACGTCGACGTTGCAGAGACATTAACTAGAACAATTGTTTTTCATTCCTAGTTGTCTCCAACTTTGATTAATTAACGTGACTAGAAAACCTTAGCTACCTTCAAGAAAAATGTCTAGGCCGTCACATTGTTTCCTACTTTACTAACATTCGGGAATCATTACTAGGAAATAATGTTAAAACTGCTTTAAAAGTGGGCACCTCAGAGATTATCGCCAGTACGCAATGATTGCAGGTTGACATGGTTACGAAACAATATGTAGTGGTTCTTCCACCTTTAGGAAACACTGCTAAGAAACAATGGTTCCTGGTTTATCAACTTTAGGGAAACATGGGCAAAAAACAATGCGGTTTCCTGTATAGTTTATCCATCCTTGGAAAATGGGTCTTCCTTCGAAACGTCAAAATTATCCTTTGGTAGGGATGCAACAACCTGACTACGAAACCGTGTTTCCTGATTTACCCACTATATTGCGACATGGATAGGAAACAATGTTTCCATAATATATGTTTCCATAACAAGTGTGTTCCAGTAAACTTGAGAATAATAATAATATTTTGGTCGGACAGCGTCTCAAGTTTAACATGTCGTTTCCTGACCGTGCATCTTCCATATTTAATGTGTTCTACCTTATTATATGGGTGGTGTGATTATAAAAATCATTTTTAAAAGCCCAGAGGACAGGTATTACTTTCCAAAATTTAATTTGAAGTGATATACTTCATTTTTCATTACAGTACGACCTAATTTGTGACGACTCCATTCTTCTATCTATCGCTCAATCGTGTTTCTGGGTTGGAATGTTAGTTTCCTTGTTGGTTGGCGGTTTTATCTCGGATCGTTTTGGCAGAAGAATTGTTTGGTATTCCGGTGGTGATCTTGTCCTCCTTGCGACTTGGATTATGATATTTCCAAAATCCTTCGTGGTGTTTATTGTTTGCCGCGTTTTCATTGGCATCGGAACAGGTACTGCAGTATATATCCACTGATCTGTAAATAAAACTTAAAGTGCCCCTGACACAAAAATTTGTTTTCAGTCTATTGAAAGTACTCATTTAGTATAGTGTTCTAGTGAAAGAATTTTTCGATTTCATCAAAACGAAAAATTTTTAGAGCCGTTTGAACACGCAAAATTTGGGCTTTTGGTTGGCAGGCGTCCGTGTTCGAAGGAAACTGGAACGAGCGATTTTTGTTACGTCACGCAAGTGAGTCGGCGTATATTCTATTATTCGACTATACTAGCAGTATCAACTCTCGCCGGATATATTATAGGTAGATTTGTGATCGAAAAAGATATGCCTTTTTACTGTGTTGCAGCTAATTGTACCAATAAAATAAAAGATGAAATAAGTCGACACAATATTCCATACTTCAATGACGAACACGCGGAAGCTAAAAGACGAAGAAAAGTATGGGTTGATTTTGTACGCGAAAAGCGTTTGTATGTGCCGTCAAAGACTTCGACTATACGCTAGGATCATTTTAGAACAGAGGATTACGAGAGGCAATTTTTTCGTTGCCGGGGCTCGGCAAGCCTAACTATCTGAAGCTAATAAAGACTGACGATGATTTGCTTTGTTTTGATGATTCAATTTGCAATTGTATTTCGGTTTTGCGGCCAGCTAAAAATAGAAATATTTTGTAATACCGAAATAAAAGATGCAAATCTGAAGACACAAGCTTGAAAATAACACTCTGAATAGTGTTTTGGATTCCGGTTCAAATAAGACTATTACGAAAAAGATATGTCCAAAGGGGCCGAAGTTATGGTAGGCTAAATGTATGGCTACTTTACATTGTTCGAGACTAATTGAGTAATATATGAATTATGACACCGCTTGACCTCTCAAAGGCGGACCAAAGGTCATAAATAGCTATTTGATTATAATTTGAGTAAAACTATATTTGACTAAAACTATCATTAGAAATAAGGAGATTTTGTTTCTCTGAATCGAATGGTAGTAATTTTGTCTTCATACCATGCACCGAACCGGAGATATGAGGAAGCTTATTAAAGATGCGCCAAATCTGAGACATGGCGCGACTAAAAAACAATCGCTAATATAAATGGGAGACTAGTTTTACTTTGTTTTTCTCGTGTCCCTGACTTTGTTTACCAACAACAGTTTTTATCCGTGAAGTGAAACTGTGATAATAGCGGCAGTTTTTCGTCACGTCCGCGTCGCAGATTTGGTAATATTAATGATAACACTAGAGACCTGACGAGATGCTACAGATCAGCATCTTTCAATACAACATATTAACCAGGTATAAAATTCGCTCCGGAATCATCGGACTGATTCTGTTGATATGATACTTTATAGAACTTAGAATATAAAAAGTTAAACAATTCAGCGATCAAAACCTTCGAGCTGATTAAAACAGATAACTTTACAGGCATCAAGATTCGACTCACTTGCGTGACGTCAGAATAAATGCTAGTGCCAGACTTCTGTCGCCGACGGCCATTAGCCAAAAATATTTGGATTCAAATGTCTCTAAAATTTTTTCGTTTTGATGAAATCGAAAAATTCTTTCGCTAGAACACTATACTAAATGAGTACTTTCAATAGACCGAAAAAAATTTTTTGTGTCAGGGTCACTTTAACCTCTTTTACTTCCTGCACCTCTTTTAATGAGTTGTGGACCATTTTATAAACACTGGCTTGAGGAAGCGATATTTGACGTTACCTTGGCAAACGTAGGGAGAAAGTGAGGCGTTGATGACCAATAGCTATCTAGACAGTATAATTATATTCTTTTCCATAAAATCTTAACAAACAGGGGACGGTTGTTCAAAGCTCAGTTAGCGCTAACCCTGAGTTAAAATTTAACTCAATTCCGGCCACTCTGACCGACACATATGCCTGGAAGATTAATTATTGAAGAACTCCGCGAATATTTGCAGTAGAAATATGAAAATACCCCCAAAAATTTCCGCTTGAAAGATACTGTATACTCGAACAATGTACAATAGCCATAAAATATAAATTAGTCATACTCGAACAATGAAAACTAGCCATACCATACGTATATTACAATTAATATACTCGAACAATGTAAACAATGTATCACTAAGCCGAATATAACTTCGGCCATTTCAACGCATCATTTTTGTATTAGTCTTGTTCAAATCACAATCCAAGACACTATTTGGAGCGTTATTTTCAAGCTTGTATCTGCAGATTTGCATCTTTTATTTCTGTATTTCAAAATATCTAAATTTTACGCGAGAGCTTCAACCGGAAGTACAAGGTCAAATGTCCAAAACTATGCGATGTTTACATCCTAGCACTCAGGAAACGTCGGAAATCGATTCTAAAGGTCAAATTACCCGTGTAGCGTGATTTGCACGTGTATCGGGCAACGGGTACTTCTTATTGGCCAATTTTAGCGCGCGTGTGACAGGCGCGTGCGAGTAAAACCCAATATTTGAAAATTCAAAATAAATATTTCTACTCGCGATCGTCGTATTCAAACGAAACTTTCTACATAAAGGAGTATTTTACAGAAATTTTTCTAGATATGAAATACAGAATGTTTGGCTTAGCGGCGAGTAAATGTACGAATTGGTTTGGTTTGTGTAATGTTATGACGGCATTTGACCCCCGTTCGAAAGGTGGTTTTCGTTTTAAAGAGGGATAAATACTTGCCGAGATATTTTAATCTTCCCAATTCCAAAGTCGAAAATGCAAATATGAACCGGACGACAATTTAATTAGCTGTTTTCATTTGTGTAATTCTGCACGTACCTTATTTTACAACTTTTGAAATTGAAATTTCAATGATCCACACAAGCATGATGTTGGGAAGACTATTTTCAGGTTTATAAACAGGAAGTTGATTTGATGTTTTTCGTTAACCCTGGAGCTTAACCGGATTTTAAAAAACCGGCTCAAGGATTTGTGAAAGGTCCCTACAACAACAGCACTCTAGATTCACCTAAATTTCTCTAATATGACACATTGCATTGGGTTTATTAGTCTATGTACGTATCAGTTTATTAGACTCTGGGTTTATTAATCTATGGTAGATAAATTATCCAATGCAGTCCAATTTTCATACTTACGTTTCCGCAGGGTTTCGAAATTGCACTAGTTTTCCCATGCTTACGGAGTTCACAACTGGAAAATATCGTTCATGGTTGGGGATTGGATCCTTCATATTTTGGGCTGTGGGAATATCGATACTGCCCCTGATTGGATACTTAATTCCTGCTTGGAGAATGTTGTTGCTTGCGACAGCTATCGCTGCAATTCCCGTTGTCTTTTTCTGGTGGTAAGTTTTGGATATTTTGTGCGCTCGTAGATTTTCATTGCCGCGCAACATGATATACGCACGCTTTAAATAAATCAAAGTTTCCAAAAAAATCCGCAATTCACTTCAGTTTTATATTAGCTTTCTGTCTCTTGCAGTCTTGCTATTGAGAAAATTTTGTTATAATAAAAATTTAAAAAGTACCTTACGTTGATTTAACTTAATCCCCTGGGGGCCGGTTGTTCAAAGCTGGATTAGCGCTAACCCTGGGTTAAAATCTAAAAATGTTGAAACGTGCTCATCAACAATGGAATTTGTGCTCTAAGACAAAGGCGATTATAAGTTGTATTGAGACTAAGGCGACTATAAATCAATTTCTGCTATCCCAGGATTCGCTATTGACGTCATCTTTATATCAGCTTTCCCTTTCTTAGTATTTATTTATTGACAACTTTGCATCTATTTGCATCGTCGGCAATCTGTTTTGCGTCAATTACGTTTTTGACAGGTTGGTACCAGAATCTCCTCGATGGCTGTTATTGAATGGTAAAGAAGAAGAAGCTGAAACAGTTCTTGCCAAAATTTCCAGAATGAACAAACGACCATTACCTGATGACCTTACACTGCAAAAACCTGTAATATCTGAGAAACGAACAAGTTTTAGACAGCTTTTTAATGACTGGAAAACTGCGAAGAAAACCTTGATTTGTTGGGATTTATGGTATGACTATTCAGTACTTTTTTACTCTCGTTGGCTTACAACAACAACAACGACAACGACAACGACAACGACAACGACAACGACAACGACAACATCGATTGATTTCCTATCTTGCATAATTCTCTTTTATTCAAAGATATACACCTGTAAGAAATTGTTAAACCTTGCTGTATTTTACCGATAGGTTTGCCAATGCCCTTGTGTTCTATGGTGTGTCTTATGGTTCTGTTGATCTTGGTGGGAATAGATATCTGAATTTTTTTTTCGTCAGTGTCGTTGAAATACCTTCAAATTTTGCTTTAATTTGGTCAGCACACAGGTGAGTATAGAAGGGTCATCTGGAGGGCAATCATTTGCAATGCCAATTAAGGGACCAGATCAGAATTTCTGTCACTGGAAATACGCGTGGTCAATATGGACTTCCTTTTTCAGAACAAAACAATATATATTTTCCCCGAGCCAACGGCGCTTTCGTTCCGGGCGTTATCCCGTGGCGAGGGTACTAATTCCGTACGGATATTTATACCCGGGAAAAGGAAAACTGCTAGCGGTTTCAAAAGTGGGGTTGAGGGTGGTCATCTTACTGATCTCAAAATGTGGAGGACTGTCAATTGTGGGATGAACCAACTGCCAAGACTTCAGTTGACACTATATGGAAAAGTCATTTCATACAATGGGCTGTAAAGCGAGTTTTAATTTTACTTTAAAGAAATGGAGAGAAATATATTAGATGTGAAATGATGAAATATAAAGTAAGTTTGTTTGGTATTTTTTTCGTAAACATGTTGAATCGCGCGTTACGTCATCGTATTTTAAGTAAGCGAGTGACATGAATATATCACATGGCGATTTGATCATGTCACTGATTTGCGTAAACCAACGCCCGGCGATCTCGCAAAGATGATGACCGACAAAATATACAGGGAGTGATAAATTATTAAGTTTTTAAATTATTAAAACTTCTTTTTATCGAAAATTTTGAAGCAAATTTTGAAAAATGTTATCATCAACATTCCAAACGATATGTAATTTGATCATCGCTTCGGCTAATATTTCGCTGAATGCCCGAGCGGAGGGTCTATAAATGATAAAAGTTAAATGAACATTCTATGAAGCTTTCATGATTGAATTTTACCTTAAATTTAAGCTTGGAGAATTAAAGATATTAGTTTATAGGTATTTTAGAAATTGATAGTTCTATAGTTAAAAGTGTCAAACTATTTATTCTTCATTTACGGTAACGCAAGCCTGCGTTCAATGTTGGTTTATGTTGGAATACTTCATTTTAAAGCAATGATCATGAGTTTAGGAAAACAAAGGCGATGGATTGTTGCATGCATGTATTTCTAACTAAAACCTTACAATCTTGCAAAATGTGCCCGTTGTCCCACGACTTACAGTGGCCGTCCCGACACAAAACATCCAAATAATACCAAAATAACAAAAATCTGTCAGCAACATGACTGCATGATCACAGACCAGCTTTTCTTTAACGCCTTCGTGTTTGGACTTGGCTGGAATGGTCTCGCCCTTGAGTCTAACGCCTTTGACATAACTGTGAAACTTGTTTTGACTTAACTGTGAAAGTTGACAATTCAACGGATATAAAGATGTGGTGAGTGGTCCTTCCTTTCTTGTATTACAGGTCTTATATACGTCGACTCGAATTACTCCCTCCTTTCCTTGAATTACTTTCTCAACTTGTCCCAATTTCTAAAGTCCTCTGTTTTTCTCTTCACCTTGTGGAAGCTTAACATCACCAACGTTTATCCCCAGATCGTCGCCAGTCGACTTACCATGTCTTTCTCCTAGTGCTCTAATTTACAGTGATGACCATCGTTTCCACATTATCTACTTATATACCGTTTTAGATGCGTATAATTTGCTATATCATTCCTTCGGGTTTATCTTTCTGAAGGGTCTTGGTTCAATGTTATTTCAATTCCAACAATACTTCTTTCGGTTGCTTGAAGGTAAGGTGTGCGTTCACAATTGCTTTCCTGAAAGAGTTCAGTTATTGCGCCAAAACATTCGCCGGAAAAAGTATCCGCCCCTTATAGTCCCTTGCAAGATTAAACTCTCAATAGATTTTTCGCCGACCAAGGTAATTAATCGTTTGCCACTTGACTGTGTTTAAGATTTCCAATGACTTTGACAATTTTATCTCCAGACTTCAGTTTAGTTTTTTCTACTGTCAATAAGTGATCAAACTTTTATACTTACAATTTTGGTTTTGTTTGGTTCTTGCATCTGGGGAAATCTAATTAATCGTATTATCAAGTACTGACTCGAATTATTTCCAAAACCTGGTCTAATCCATTGAATCTTCAGGCAACCTCGCAGTTTCTTGTTCCCCTTTCAAAACCAAACCCCCAAAGTTGCAATTTTAGTTTTGTTTGGTTCTTGCATCTCTGGAAATCTAGTTAATCGCATTATCAACTACAGGCTCGAATTATTTTCATCACCTGGTCTAATCCATGTAATCTACTGACAGGCAACATTTCAGTTTCTTTCTTGCTCCTCTTTTAAAACCTGAATTATACGTCTTCTTACTGTAAATTTTACCTTCGTAGTCGTTCCCGTTTTTCTTCTTCCTGTTGTTGAATCCGTTTTAGAGTCTCTCTTTCTTGAGCTTCAATTTTTCTCTTTTCCTGGCTTTATCATGCACTATCCATCCCTTGTAAAATTCTTTTGTTTCTTTAAACAAGCTCTAGTAACCTTCAAGAAGCTTCTCTGCTTAAGTTGCCCTACTTGCCCATTCATTTCCCGCTTCAATATCCAAAGTTTCAAGACCCCCAATTTCTTTCGTATATTGTGATTTCACTGTAAAAATCGTGCTGGAGTCGTCACCATTCTTGCGAGAATAAATGCCCTCGAAACAAATTAAAGCGGGTTTAAAACTGTGCAGAATTTAGTTTTTGAAACCGAACAACCTCGCAGAACATATACTCACTGTCTCCATGATTCATCGGCCCCCTGCCACCATTGGGCGCCAAAATTAGACATTAGTGGACGACTTGCCTGGACGAGATGCATAATAATCCACTTTTAAGTTTATCCTCGGGTGACAATGTGAGTCACCCAAATTATGAACATTTTGCAGTAATTTCCTAGGGGTTATCCAGGGATTTTATAGTTAGACTTTTGCCTGCAGCCGGTGTTCAAAAGCTGGTTTTAATTAAATGTTGGATTATATGGCTCAGGTACCAGGAACTATTCTAAAATCGTATTCATCATGACACGATTTCCTGCTATACTGAATGCACAATAATAAGTGTTGCGGTACGTTTCAAGCGAGAAGCTGGATCATAATTATTTCACTTGCAAGGAAAAGACTCCACGCACGCCTGGCTTGCGAATTTGAGCAGGTTTCGCCGTAGAAACATACATATCTTCTACACCGACTGATCGATCAAACGAACGATATGGTTGTTTATAGTTGAAGTGTATCCTGTTCGATATTCAAAACAAAAGATTTATTTTATAACGGGATCCTTTGATTTCCCAAACATCGCCAACTGTGTGTAAACAATGTTATCCTGACTGTAAAAGACCAGAATTAAAACCCGTTATAGACTTTAAAATTCCCTGCATTTACATTGCTGAAACTCAACGAGCAAGAATGATTATGCATATCGAAGTATAGCTATCTGTTATCATACGAACGCCAAGACTCCTCCGGATCCGTGCGTTTCTGTGCGTTTCAGTGAGTGCTGTATAACTTGAGTATTTAGGACGAAACATGCACCAGACAATGGTAATGTACCTGATAATTAATTAGTTCATGTATTAGAGTATTAATTTACAGCAGGAACATTACAAATCTTATAAAGGCTTTTCATTGGCATTATTGCCATTACCCCATTGGACTTTATTTGAAGAACAAGCTGGCTTAAAATCCAGCTTCTTTCGACTTGTATCATACCGCTGTGGGTCATCAATATTTATATCAACCTTAAACTTTATCGCACACTGTGATCGACCTTCTAGAAGTTTTACCACACGATACTGGAAGCAAAAACCCTATCAGCTATCATTCCTTCGGCTTTGCATTCAAGGGCTGAGGTTGAATGGCTATAGAATTATATAAGAGATGATGTGCAATATTTTGGCTTCAAGATACAGATACTCGTGCAGACAAAAAAGGAAAAGCATACAGTTGTGAATTGTCTTATAATGTCTTGTACTGTTGATCAATTTTGTACGTTAACACTCCTTCCTATATCTGGTGTTTAATATAAACGATGATAACCTCGTATTTTTTTAAAGAAAAATAGAGAGCACTATGTTTATATACGGTTTTAGAAATAGAATGGACATTCAATGTCTATTTGGCTAGTGTCCAAATGCATGTGTAACGCTTGCCGGCTGTAAGACCACTAAGGCACAACGACCTACACAGTCGCTTTTGAGACCTCTGTTTAAATTAACTAGTAAATAAATGCAAAGTTGATACCGTTTCCAAATGACAACGTTTCAATGGCATATTGTAAGAATATAAATATCTGAACCAGAGGCAAAACAGAAACGTACACGTGAAATGAGACCGCGTCCGAACCCCGAGAGATTAAAAGAGCAAATATTTCAAAGCGTAAATGTATATACGATCATACGTGATCATTGCTTGATTTCCTGACTTGTCTGTTGCTATAAGAATCTACAGCTTAGCATGTTTGCGTAATTTAAAAGCAAACAGAAACCAAATTTAGCAAGCATTTTGAAGTATATATGATACTCGAAGATGATTGTACGGAACGGCCACTCATTGCAATCGAAAAATTTTGTTATCGTAAAAATACATAAAATGTTTGAAAAATGTTTCACGAAATGCTTGTTGTATGTTGTTACAGACCTCCCGGTAGTAATGATAGGTCGATCCGTTCCATTGCTGATAAGTTATTTCCTGTCTACGACAAGATCCTTAGCTTATGGCCGGTGACTTTAACCTCCCGTATATTTCTTGAACAGATACTAACTATACCGCAATAGGATCATTGAATCAGAACTTCTGTGATGTATTAGACGACTACTTCATGTCCCAAATTTGTTTGGTTCCCACTAGAGAGGCGAACATTTTGGATTTACTAATTACCAACCAACCAGAACACATAACATTAACGGCCGTCCACCCTCCAGCTGAGTTAGGAATGAATTTTGATCATAATATCATACACTTCCAAATCTCCACCTCATCAAATATTATCCTCCCAAACAAACGTTTGCCCTACGATTACAGAAGAGCAAACTTTGACGGTTTACGGAAAAACTGAAAGATATGGACCTTCGCACTCTGTTAGCAAATGGGATGGTATGCAGTACTGGTCTACCTGGAAGTAAAGCTATGTTGTCAGCTTTGTATGAATTCATCCCTACCAAACACGTAGACCCCCATCGCACACCTCCTTGAATAACATAAACCATTCTACATCAAATTCGTAAAACGGTAACAGCCCGAAAGAGATTTCTAAGCCTAGTGACTAAATATATCAAGGCGAAATTCAACCAGCTAAGAACTGACGTTAAAAAATTAATTAAAGAAAGTAGAAAGTTGTTTTTCTCATCTTCAGGAAACACCCTACGAATCAATCCAAAACGTTTCTGGCCTGTCTTTAAAATAAACTCGAACACCGGAACTATCCTAAGTCAGTCTCAAGGACAAATTCCAACATCCCGGAGATTAGATTACATGCAAACACGCCTCGCAATATTGCAAAAATGTTCAATGTATATTTCCATTCCGTCTACACCAACTTCTCGGGACAATCTTTATCACCTCGGCCTGATTCGTCACCTTCACTATCCAGTATATCATCCATTGACCTCCCTCTAGAAGAAGTATGCCTAGCCTTACAGAACTTAGATCCCTTCAAGGCCCATGGTCCTGATGGTTTTCCTTCCCGTGTTTTAAAGGAATGTGCATTTCAATAGTACTTGCTCCTTCTCTACACTACCTATTCACAAAGTCGCTCCGCTTAACACAGATTCCCGCCGAATGGAAGTTAGCCAACATCATCCCTCTTCACAAGAAAGATGTAAAAGAACACGTGGGAAATTACCGTCCCATTTCTTTGTTAAGCATTGTCAGCAAGACTCTTGAACGCTGTGTCCTAAACCACCTATCTCGACGCACACTGGAAAGCCTTCAATCAGCACAATATGGATTCATTAGTGGAAGGTCTATAGCACATCTCAATTACTATCGACATTACACAGTATATATAGGGAAGGACTTAGATGGACTACGAACGTTGTCTTCATGGACATTTCTAAGGCTTTCGATACTGTTGACCACTCCAGACTGTTACAAAAACTTCTCGATTTCTGTCTTTCTGGCTCTCTGTTGGAAACAGAATCTGTCAGGTCGCTGTCAATGGGTAACTGGTCCACTATAAGAGCTTCGGGCATAATAGCAAAAATTAGACATTTTGTAACCCGAAATACAGGAAAATTAATTTACTATGCATTAGTCTATCTATATCTTATCTACGGCAACTTGATTTGGGGTAATACCTAGAAAACCCGAATACAAAAAATAATGAATATACAGAAAAAAATTGTTCGACTGATGCATAGATATCTCATATACACTAGATAGCGCATCTCGGAATACAAAACTGAAGCCAAAAATCTCAGCGGTTTCCCCCATGAAAATAGGCGGCGGCCATATTGGTCGTTCCCACTCATCAATGAAATGCTATAGAAAATACTATACTTTTCGAGGCTTTTTTGCATTTCTGGATTAAAAATACCTTTT